GAATGAGTGTCGCCCCCTTTCATCAAATACAGTCCGATGCAGTATTTGCAAATAATGATATTTACAAATTCATTTCTCTGAGATTTGGTGTTGGGTAAAATGTCTACACAATACATTTTTGCAAAAATGTATTCAATCACTTGGACAAATTATATGCCTTGGACAAGTTACTGTAAAATGACTTTCTACATATACTGGATATGTGCCTGGTGAATAAGCGGGCAATACTAGAATGGTTTAGGCTTCCATGAATTGTATAAATGTTGCACCATGGGCCTACAATGTTGAAAAAATAAGGTCCCGGAAGCCGATAATAGCAGCACAATGGATTATTTAAATTGGCATGTACCTGGGTTTGTCGTCAGCTTCTGCCTGCTCATGCGATCATTACACATGTGCTGCACAAACATGTCATTGTAATACATTTATGAAATTGGGACAAAATCAAGAAGTTTATGTTTTGTTGCCAGCAAAAGAAGCGATGTAAATTTGGCAATACTTTGGATGAAACATTTGTCTCCATTTTAAACCATGCCTTCAACCTGTCTTCTGAAGAATAAACACGATTGATACTGCCCCAATGTATTATTTCTGTCATTTTTTTTTTTAATGCATGTATGCTTTCCCACCGCAACTCTATTTGTTCCCTCCCACAGCTTTCTCGATGGCCTCCCTCAATCATCCCTGCCAAGTGTATAAATGCAATGGCAAATCTGGCAGCGAGTTTGTATTGGGATCGTTTTGCATCACAGTTTGACTTTGCAGAGCCAGGCACCACATTGCAGAAGTGCAAGCCAAAAATATACACACAAATTTCCCTCGCTCTACTCCATGACTTGTGGAAAGGCACTGCTTAAAGAATGCATGGAAATGTCACGATGGCCACAGATTTATCTATTAGGGTTAACGTGAGGAGGTGGGGCTGGATTTCAGTTGTGAAACCATATAATGACGTTGTTCCACTTCCCTAGTTATTGGATCCAAATGTAGGACATGGATCAATCTTTTCATTCCTACCTATCTGCACATGTGAGGCAGTCATGTAAAGCTCCAACTCATTGAGTGATTGACTCATTTGCTTGAAATGGCCAGCATTCCTAATTTGACCAAGACCAAGCTTTGACAGAAACAGAACGCCAGATAAAGATGTATTTCCAAGATACCACCTCCATCTCCACCTGCGCCAGCTTGCAGTCCCAGCTGCTGCCCCCCCCCCCAATCCCCCTCCACACAGCTAGTTATTCAAGATGTGGATTTAACCTAAACCAACGCAATACTATGACGGTGGCATTCCAATCCATAAATATCCCCCCAGAGAAAGACCGTTTAGTTTCCATCACCCTCTATAAAATCCACTCAGGAGATGTCCATTGTCACTGGAAAGAATGAAGGCTGTGTGACAGGAGATTCAAAGGTTTGAATCCATTTCAGATCCTTATACAGGATTCTGTGAGCCTGTTTCCTTTGTATCAGCTATTGCCTTGATCGTTTTATCAGCTTCCTACACAAAGAAACTTAATGTCCAATAATCTTGGGGATGGCATACCAGCTGTGTATTCACTTTATTTATTGTTTTCACAAAAAAGATCAATTCACAACAAGTGAATATGTAGAATATCAAACACCTTGGAAGGGGAGACCTTGCAAGTAAAAACCAACCAACTGAATGATCATGTTATAAAAATGCATTTTTCTATTTGTGACTCCGTTGAGTTATTTTTGTTCCATGACCATTGGTAATCCTGCCATCATGTCAGCTTTTATTGTTTTTTGCCTCCCATGGCCCAAAAAGCCATTATCAGATCAAGGCCATGGCCCAAGGACAGCAGAAAAAAAACACACTTAGGTCCCTGTTGGTGTCTCGCCCGGACATGAAGGCCAAAATAGAAAAACAGGCACATGGGCGGGGATTTGGGGATAACCCCCAAAAACATCCTGTGAATAAAACACATTTTTGTCAATATAAAATGATCCAAAATCATTCTCATCGTATTATACAAGGATTCATTACAAAAAAAGAAAACCGTTTCTAGATGTTTTCCGGTACCTAGATGATACAGGATACTTATTGTCTAATGTTACAAATGTATGTAATATAAAGTCCATATACGTCCTTTGAAAACTTTGCTCGCATTTGCGTCCGTGGATTAGACAGACAAGGCTAGTGCCTTTGTACATTTTTATTTTTAAGTTATTTCCAGCAGTGTGTTCTGGCGACGTGGCTGACTTGACTCGTTTTTTCGAGTCACTTCAGTTGAGGCATTTTACAAACTTTTCCCGCAGACCTCAACATCACGTCGTCCTGAAATCAAATTCAATCACTAATTCGGGACGCTAAAAAATAAATACTTTGTAACACAGATACTGTATTATACAGCGTCTGTTGTCAGTGCATAGCAGCGGCTCCAGCGTTCGCGTCTAACTCCGGCTAGCTATTAATGAGCTAAAGAGAGCCATCAGATTACTTTTCAAAGGGAATTTAATAGACTCTGCGCCCTTTGATGCTGACAGCCAGACACAGTTGCTGATTACAACTGATCAATTTTTACCAAGCCAAGCTTACGCAAATATGCAGTTTATGCCGGTTTCCTTGCACATTCCAAAAACATGCATGGCATGTTAATGGAGCACTAAATTTTCCCGAGGTGTGATTGTGAGCGTGGATGTTTGTTTGTCTATGTGTGCCCTGCGATTGGCTGGCAACCGGTTCAGGGTGTCTCTCGCCTACTGCCTGGTGACGGCTGGGATGGGCTACAGCACGCCCGTGACCCTCGTGAGGATAAGCAGTTCAGATAAAGGATGGATGGATGTTTTGGAGTTGAGTACTATACAGGACAGCAGTCCTTCACCCATTTAGTGAAGGACTGGAAAATGTCGGATAGGACAGGACAATACAGGGACAAAAGAAGAAGGCAGCAGGACAGGGACACACACACACACACACATACAGGTGTATATATATATATATATATATATAATTTCAGAAAACCAGGCAGTATAGCACCAAACAACAATGAGTATAATATAATAATAATAATAATATAATTTTCGGACTCTCCAGCCCAGAGTTACTCAGAAACCATGAAAATATCTTTGACCAGTGTAATCAAGCATGACAGCAAATCAGGATACCGAATTATAAACAAATACAGAGGGGAAAAATAACAACTGCTTTTGAACTGCGATTCACATAGATTTGCACCATGAACCGCAGAACTGTGCTGTCACATCAGAATTGCATGTAAAACATGTACTTACTGATTACCAACACGACATGACATGTGTTGTTCAGACCTGCTCAGTCTGCCTGTTTCTGAAATAGCACAATTGAAAAATTCTGAATAACAGCTTGAACAGAAAAAGGTGTATGAGAAAGAGCAGCTTGCAGAATGTAGTCCCAGCAGGACAACACCTATTGAACAGAACAAAGTATGCGCCATTTAATAGCAGAAGCAGCCACTTCAACAAATCGCAAATACCCTCTTCCTTTGTGTTGGAAAACATTTTCCTTTCTTTTTTTTTTTTTGGTAAAGTCACTTAAAAAAAGATTCTTCAAAAAAAACCCTCTACTCCAGAGGTACTTTCTGCTGACTTTATTAATTAGCAAGCTTCTTTTACCCGCCGTTCTCCCACCTACGGTCTTGACTATTTTCCCCTCAGTATAAAGCAATGTGAATACAATGCATTGTTAGCCCTGCTACAGTCCTCAGAAGTCTCTCTTGCCTGTCTGATTCTGGACCAGTGTCACATCCCAGATTCACATTGTTCTGACACTGAGTGACAGGAATGCCATTCAGTCTGGAATACTCTATGCATCAAGATCTCATACGAAGCATCTCTCGCAATACAAATCATTCAATTAAAAATCTATGAGTAAAAAAAATCTGACTTGTTGCCAAGAGACCACTTGTTCTATCAAATGAGGAATACCATTGTCTGGTAGTTTCCTTCAGTGTGCTTAAAGTAATTTTCTTTTGTGCTCTTTTTACGCGGGGGTAGCCTTGCCTTGAACTGAACTCTTCAAATCACAAACTAGGGCAAAACGGTGTTGCGCCCCCGAAAAGAAATAGGCTGTGTTTATAGCTCTCTGCAATCCTTGTTGGTGTGTGATGCTGCTTGTGACATGAACAGAATGTGTTGGAGTTTTTGGGGTATTTTTCTCTGCTCCTGTTTTGCTTCCTCCTCTTCTGCTGTTTAATGTCTGTTTTGTGATTGCTTGAGGGTGTCTCTTGAATGATGTGACTTTGTAGGCGGTTTTTGGGGAGAATGAAGCTGTTTGACTTCTTTCTACTCACAGCTAACTGTGTGACCACCTGCTTTTCATCTGCAGCATGACCTTTTATGTCCACAAACTGCAGGTTTGTCTTCTTAAAGGACAAACTAATCAGTCCGCAGAGTGTACTCATCATTGCTTCCTATCATTAGCCATACTTCACACTTGACTTAACAAAAACGCTGACCAATGTAGAACTAAATTATTTCTGTCGTAAACAACTGAGTTCCAGCATAATTTGCAATTCAGGCAGGTTTGTAACACGAATAGTTCCAATGAGAAGCTGCACGTAATTATCGCCATAAACCACCCGTTGTGCAAGGATGTCCCGAAGGAACCGTTTTAAATTTACAAGGGTCAATTTGAATGTTTGTTTTTGAATCATGTGGCATTTAAAAACATTCCATCTGCAACCATCCCGCAGCATGTGAGCACATTTTGCTTTTTGCAAGAAAATAAATGAGAGAAATATATTTATTGAACTATAACAAGGTAGAGCACAATTTCACGTTCATAGTTGACGCAAAACTCAATAATGAATGCATCGTAAAGAACAGAGGGGGAGTATCAAGACTTCTATCTCTTTTCACAGTAATGGATCCCATGAACTGATGCTGGAGTCATGCTGGTCTACAATTTAATACCTACGGCATCAGCAGTCGTTGAGCTGTGGATGGAGGGACAACCCAAATTGCAGAAAATGGAAACAAACCAACAAGGGACATACTTTTTAGGCCTGTAGTCTGGGATGCTCCTGTCCAGGGAGATCCTGTCACTGAGCTGAGCATTGTAGCCATACTCTTCGTACTTCCCCTCGGCATCACGGCTGTCCTCCCCAAGTGAGGCGGCAGCTCCCCCTTGACCGAGTCCACCGGGACCCTCCACCAGCCCCATGGGTTTTGCTAAACCTGCCAAAAAATGACACAGAGGATCAGCGGTGGTTGCAAACAGGGTGGGCCGATTTAGGTGAGCAGAGGGCGCATGTAGAATGGCAGCTGATTGACATTTGATGGCAGCATACAGAGATTGCAGGAGCAGTTCCGGTACAGCAAGGCCTCATCCCGAGGGCATCATTATGCTGTCTGTCAATGACACAGCTGCAAAACACTCACTTGGACAAGGACATGACTGAGCTCCACAGCAGAGGAGATGCTGAGAGAAACAGTGGTATGAGGCCATGGCGGATAGCGGAAAAGAAAAACTGATGAATGAATGATGAGGGACTGATTCCCAGCCGTCACATGAACACAGAACTGCCGTTGTGCGACAGCTGAATTATTATTCTGATTATCACTCATTATCTTGGATATTGTTCATTCCATATTGAGGATGAGGGACGATCTATGATTTTGTCATCAAATATCCAGTACATTGTCCATTAAAGTATTTAATGAAGTCTGGAGAACAAATAAAGGTGCTTTTATATCGTTCATCACAAACACGTGTTTTTTTGATCAAATTCAGCGTGGCCCATAGACATAAGTTGAAACATCAAACGTGTGTTTATCTGATGATGTCAGCAGTATATCACAACAATATACACAGAGTCAAACGAAGTCATTTTTATAGATGGTTATGCATCTACTTGTGATATGCGTGCATCATACATTTAGTGAGAAATTACATAATCATTCATGTTGTAAAAAATACACGAGGTGAAGTGGCATCAACCCTCGACAAGAATGCTTTTAATCTTTAACTACCCTGTAGTGATTAAAAATAAACAAATAACTTCATTTTTAATCCAGCACCAGATGTTACATTATGTTTTTTGGAATAGTAATCATTGCATTGTGCCAAACCAGCAAGACAGTGAAAGGGAAAGTCTTTAAGTCTGGACTTGATCCATGTGGGGTTTTTTGAAATCATCATGAGTCGACTCCCCAGGTAGTTCTTTTTTTCTCTCTATGATTCTGAGACCTTGATCATCCACCACCCACAATACATTATGCTTCCTTAGTCTGATGCAATTAATAATAGGATTTTACATGTCAGACTTAAAATACCCCTCTACACTGATTAAGGTCACTCATCATGACAGTAACTTTGAACAGACATCACTGGGATGCTGTGACACGTTTTCAAAGGGAATGGGGAATGAGCGATTTCAACTCTCCGTCCAGCAACTACTGCCTACGCTTTGTAAATCTTCATTTAAGCTTTATGTGCAAAGACACTAACCGGCATTGTAACCAATTTGACATTCACGACAAGAGCTGTATCTAAAATGCTCAGGAAACAAAGATAATCAATGTTTAGATTTTGTTGATGCTCTCAGAGAGGGAAACTTTATGTGCGCATGCGGATTGCTATTTTAGTCCGCGAGTTGAGAAAGCACGCGGGTGTCTCAGCGCGCCGATGACGGATTGAGATGGCGGCGAAATAAAACACTGAAAGGTGTTTTACTTATGACGTTTAAGAAATAGGAATGCCACTAGGATTTTTCATATGAATCATCCGAAGAAAGGCGTATCACTAAGCTCACGTGTGATGCAAGCAAAAAACACAAAAGAGAGATTCGATGGGAGGCACGATTCCGAGGCAAGTACTTGAAATTGGTCATTATAAATTTCCATGGTAAATTTCCCCAGTGTGGGACAAATAAAGGATATCTTGATTAGATCTAAAGGCTAATCGCTATGAAAAATATTATGAACTAGTCTTAGTTATTCTATATTTATTGTTGTAGACATGGTAACTTTATGAATAAAACATTCATCACAAAAGTGTAGTAATAACTGTCAGTAAGGCGTAACGATGACGTATGGCAGATTCTTTGGTCAAATGGATAGTACATTACACAGCGCGTCATCTTGGGGTTGCAAATGGGACGTCAAGCCATGTCAGTACGATATGACTATATATAGTGATAAGGTCTTTTTTTCACACACATCACATGATTTTAATCATTCAATTCCTATTACATGCTTTTGTATTAATAAGAGGGGTGAGTAGCCATTGATATGCTTATATACATAAATAGTACACACACACGTATAATCATGTTAACAGTGTCAGGTTTACTTGTGGCTCATGATATATAGCCAGGACTGAAGTATTGTGGACACATATGTGTTTCTGATGGCCATAATATTTTACAGTCATTGATATATTAATGATTCCCAGTAAATTAATCTTTGCAGTGTGAGACTGGAAAAATTACTCAGATTTTGTGGTATGCTGTATTCATGATGCCATATGAGTACAATAAAAGTGTTAACATATTTTGATCCATTTATTTTATGGCATAAACCTGGAGTACGCAGCTGCTGATGTAATTATGTTCATTGTTAGTGCATAGTTTTCAAAGATTTACCCTTTAAATATTATACTTTTGAGTATCAGAATTCTTTATTATGAATATCAGTCAAAATAGAAAAATGGGTTCCCATTGTGAACGTTTACGGAACCCCAAATTAGTTACCGTGGTTTCCCATTAGATGATCCAATGGAACCGAAAAACGGTTTCTGTGAATTTCTAAAATCCTCAGGCTTCCTAATGCCATACAGTTCTACACCATGTGGTTCCAGTGTTCCATAATACCCAACTGGCTCATTTCGCCAGACAGATGGACATGCACACAGTTAGGAAATAGCACACAGCAGTGCTAAACCCACTGCAGTGCAATCACCATATTTGGATGGCATTGAAATACAAAGTGTCACTGAAGATTTCTAATGGAGCTGAATGGAAAACGGGCTTCTCCCATGAAAGGGATTCAAATATGCCCTGCTCCAGTAAAAGTGGTGGTATTTTGACAATTAGGGGTGGCGCTCACGTTACAGTGCAGCCATATGGCATCACACCCATGTCACAAAACAACATAGATTCTCTCCAGAGCCGGAGACATGAGTGCGGAGGGCCTCTCTGTCTCTGCATGAGACTTGGAAGCAAAGATGCCAGCTTTGTTTTTTTTGTTTGCTCTGTTATTTGGCTAACCCCTGCCCTCTTCTTCCGCTATGTGACTGAATGAAATTCCACTGTAGGATAAGGGCCACAAGAAGAGGTTGAAAAGTCACATACAGTATTCTAAAAAAAAAAAAAAATGTGGGTAAATCGGCAAACTAAGACATCACAGAGCTTCATCCTCATTGCATTCTGCTTCGGTTTAAAATGTGTTACATGAGGGATAATTAGTATAAAAAAAACCCTAGGATGTGTGCTGTTATGTCCTAATATTAAATAAAGAGAACAATGCTTAGTGTGAGTATTGATTCATCGACTGCTAAAATGAACATCACACTTTCACTTTTGGACCAAACATTGTGTTGTGCATTGGCATGCTTTCTGAATAATTGATGATATACCATGTGCAATATTATATGATGGAGATGCTGCTCCACATAGAAGCTCACTTCTGTTTTTACCCCCTAAGCTCCTGATGCCTTCCCACATCTCCATATACATGTGTACAGTACTATGTGTGACATGACCAAGCTTTATTTCTTGAAGTCATTTTGTCCAAATATGTTTGCCACAACACACTCAGTGCTGCGTATTGCAAAACAAGCTGTTTATTATGTGGCCCTTGTAAGATTGAGATTCAAATTCAACAATGACCATAGAGTGAGGATTTGTGTGTTTGTGTACGTGTAGCTGAACAGATGTGTCATTTCTACACAGGCTGTCATGATTAAAAATTTGGAACGACTTTGGACAGATAGTGTCAATAAGGGCAACACTCTCTTCTTCTGAACATATTCCATTACTGTGAGTGACTAGCTGCTGATTTTCAGGTGAGTCACTGAATTCATTATCCCCATTTCTCAAGGCTGAGGAGATTTGATTCTTAACTGCTCGGCACACTGGTTTGTCAAGCAAAGCCTCATCTACATATCGTTATTGGAATACGTATGATTCCATCTTGCTTCTTTGAGCCTTCTTTGTGCTATGATGTGATGCGCTGCTGCCATGAGCTATACATACTGCGCTGATGCTCACAGTGATTTTGATCATTAAGATGCATTCAGGGCATTGAGTGCGTCAATGTGGAGGAGATGGAAGCGTAACATTTCTCATCATGGAATGGTCTTCTTGGAATAGTAACGTCATGGGTTTCTTTGCTATAGTTGGGCATTATAGATAAGAAGCATATCGGGTTCTGCAACTGAGCCCACCCTATCAGCGCCTTCAAATGGGAAGAAGATTTAAAGAGTGACTTGCATGGCTGATGAAAAGAGCCTTGGCGTGACTGAGGACTCAAACAAACATCTAGTGCTGTTCTGCGTTTGAAGCAGAATGCGGACACATCAACTGGTTGATAGCTATTATCTATATACAAAATGAATTGAGTTTTGTAGTTGGGGTAGTAGTTTAGAGTTTGCACATTTTCCCTGTGTTTGTGTGGGTTTTGTACAGGTAGTCAGGCTACCTCCACATTCCAAAGAGTGAAACAAACCCAAACCGCTTGCAAAAGGTAAGGACCAAGATAAACATAAATTGGGGACTCAGCAAGAAATTCGGGGAAGGAAGACTGAAGTTCTGGTTGCGCATTGCTCACGGCCATAGACCAAGAACCAGCCTGGCCAGTCAATAGACTCATGACAAACACGGATTTAGAATCATCATGGGAGTAGGCGGAGGAAGTCAAAAATTAAATGACACCGATAAATGAATTGACCGCATGATCCAGGCTGTCCACCATAACGTGACGTATGTGGTATGGTGGGTTCGACCGGAGGTGGACATACCCCACCTGGCAATGAAGGGATCCGAGGGGAGCATCCCTCGGGGGCCCAGCTGCTTGACGTGTATGAACAACTCCTCAACCTAGGTGGCCAGCAAGACTCCTCAAGCGCAGCCTCCTGCTATCCCACCAGTCTTGTTTGGCTGGCCAGAGCACTAGCAAAATTATCCAGGATCCATGGTCGGATTATTCTGTTATGTCTCCGAAATAATCCGGATAGG